ACGCAGCAAACAATACTGGTGAATTAAATAAATAAGTTAAATGTTGCGGATACATATTTATTTTTTCTTTTCAAATATGGTAACATTAAGTCTAGCGATGGGCGAAGGCGATCGATAAAAGTCGAAAAATATTATAACTGGAATAACTTGGATGTAACTATATTACATGTTCCTGAAAAGATCTTCTTTATATTATAGTATGGGACCAAAAATTCCACCTGTTGTGCATAATCTCTGCTCTTGAAACCAGTCAGCTCTGAAGACGTTCTTTGAATGTAACGTGGTGTAACTTTAATAATTTCTATTATCGTAACTCTTTATTTTAGAATTTTTTGTGAACTTGTTTGGTACTCAATATTGTTTGAGGAGAAAATCTATGATGTGTGAAATATTCAGACATACGCCAAGAAACTGTGTAATTATTCCTTTCAAGTTCACGGTTGCGGCGATGAGATTATACCTATTCACCTATGGAACATTTATTGTTATTGTAAGTACGTAAATACTTTTCTCATATTATTTTTTAAACAGACCTGTGTTTTGTACACAAATTTCATTTCTCTCAACTCTTTCTAATGGGCATTGTATAGTTTTCGCTTTGGATTCATTAAATGAGTTTTCATCAACAAATGGATATTTCGCAACGTAAGCCTAAAAGTTTAGCATCGTTTTACTGATATTCATGTGAAAATCAATAATGCTGAAAAATTAGTTATTTTCTATAGCCTTTCGTGATTTTTGCTCGTCAACAAGTTTTCTAAAAAGATAAAGATTCTATCCGAGAGTTTTGAAAGAAACGAAAGTGAGAAGTTGAGCTTCTATCGAAGTTCATTTTACGACGGTCGGAGAGTTCGCACACAACCCTCAATTTTAAATTATTTTCTTCCAAAGTTTACTTAAGTTCCGAAACTTAATATTGAGGATTTTTTCATAGATTTTGTGTCACATAGATCTTTACAAGTTATATTTAGACAATTGCCTCTACAGTCGGCATTATGTTATGGGTGCCAAGCCGTTGTTCTAACGACCGAGCTCTTGCAATCTCCGCAGGATGGAGCCAAATTTAGAAGTTCACACAAGTGAGGAAAGTTCGCTGTGCGCCAGCCACTTGAGAGTGGCCAGCAACGAGTCATATGATGCAAGCAGCTCACGACTTCTGGTCTATGACCAAGTATCCCCTGTTTAGCCAAAAGACATCCGCTCAAAGGCGAGCTAAAGTGAGAAGGTGAATCATTCCTCCCCAGGGTTGTGCGCTGGGTTCTGGACCAGCCACAAGAGGAAGAGCGACAGGCGCACTGTCTTAAACTCGGCCACAACCGCTTAAGTGGTATCTACGCCAATAAAGRAGAAGAAGAAGAAGAAAACCTAGTACCTCACAACTTTATCGTGAAGTTTGACATTTTTCAAGTTTTAAAAACTCAGAACGTCTTAACATAAGAGCGTTATGTTTGTTGCTTACAGTAACTTAAAATATTCATCGGAACCAAAAACTAACAGCAACAGTGCATGAATTAACTTAAATTAAAATTTGGCTATGAAACTCAACCAAGGGCCAGTGTTTGTCGATGGTATGGTGAGTTCAATCGAAGTCGTAGATGACTCCCAGATAAAATGCGTGACGGTCGTCAAAATCTTAAGCTAATTACTGATGCTGTGCTCTAACTGATATTGAAAGATCGTGATATGACCTATTATGAGATTTTCGATCTCTAACCCTCTAATTTATGACCCAATTATAACTTTTATTGCATTTACGAAATTTCAAAATGTATCCTGAAAATCGACAAATGATAAAATTTCCTATTCGTTAGCCTTTTTATCAACACGAATAAAACATAATATTGCGAATAATATATATCGATAACGATTAACATAACCCACCAATAAGAAATAAAAATCTGCTACCCACCAAATGTGGGTCAAACAAACAAAATCACCTAAATTTTATTTCAACAATAAAAACTTCACTATTTTTATCTATCTGCGATTAATTGAATATTTATAAGCCATTAACGCAGCCAAGTTGTACATATGTATATACAAGTATGTTTGAAATTATTTAGGTAGATGTTTATCTTAAAATGACACGCTCTTGTGCATATGTTCATGTTTAGTAAATGTTTTGTTGTTGTCATTTGGAAAATCAAAATTCATAAATATGGGCAATGAAAATACTTGGAGTTAAATTCAGCATTTTTGTTGTAGTTTTATTTGTGACTTGACGGCCGTTGAACTCATAAAACGCCGCGTAGAAGAACTCATCTTTATAAATGCTAATTTGAGTTTGTGGCTATAAACATATTTTTAAACATTGTTATAGAAAGATTTATGCAAATGAAAATCAATTTTAAACGGCTGTCATAATACATAACATTTTGCATTAGCAATTTCAGATCTTGCGATAAGATTGCCGATTGACAAATGTTTAACTACTTCCGTCTGGCGTTGTTCAACAATTGAAAATGTTTAGTAGCGAAGCTGATTATGTGTATGTAGTTGGTGATTTTGTGATTTGTTTGGAATGTAGATGCATGCAGCTAGTAGCAATTTATAGTAAATAAAAAAAAATGTATAACAAACCTTTTTAACACGAGAATGGAGAAATGTCTTGTATACTATATCCATCCCTAAGATAGCCATAAAAGTTTTCGTAAACTTATACCATGTTTTTTTTTTCGAGGTAATATACCACCTTATCAAATTTGACCTAGACTGATCCATATAGACTGCGCGCACAAATTGAATCGATACAAGTTTTTTCTATTATACATATTTTTTTTACGTTCATTTGAAGTTTGATCTTCACAAGTCAATTGGTGTGTAAGTAAGTAAGTACACATGGGAAAAATATTCAACGAGTTCGCTTGAAAATTATTTCCAACGGAATCACGCCTGCGGATTCAATGGAAATGCTGGAAAATGTTTTGGAGAATCTACTCAGGAACGCAACAATGACACAAAGCACCCAGTGAAGATCGTGAAGTCATCTTAAACTTGCCAGGATAACATAGACAAAGTTAAAGAAACAGTTCGTGAAAATCGTTGTTTTGCCATCAGAGGGATAGCAGAGGATCTCAATATCTATTATGAATCAATTCAAGAGACTATTAGTATATGTATAGAAAATTTAATTGAGCGTTTGTTTGTTCAACTCAATAGCGGTTGCCCTTCGGCGGACAGGAGTATATTTGTTATAAGATTCGTGAGTGGACAGGTAGAGTGGTTGTTTGATGACGCACCTAGATCTTTAACAGGCCCACTATGTTTTATTTGTACAACCTCCATACCAGACTTATTAAAGTTTTATTTTCTTCTACTTCCTGGCAGCATCTCCAATAGTCATTATAAAGTGTTCCATATCTGCCAATTAAATAGTGATCTGTTAATACTCCCACCAGAGTTTTTAAGACATTCTCTTTGTATTTTGTGGTATGTGGAGGTATGTGGAGCCCATTTTCATTCATGCCACATATTTGCCTGCTTGTTGAAGAAGTCAGAGATTGACTTCACCGGTATTGGCAACATATTTGTCTATTAAATATCTACAAGTATCTACATATATCTACAAGTGGTGATGTCTGTTTCTGCTAGTACATCTACCTTGGGCCATAAGAAAACTTATAATAAAGTCCATTAACCGTTAACTTGGAACACGCAGAATATTAAAAAAAAAAAAATATGTCTATAGCAGAGAAAGACATATTTCGTATGTCAATATCCATTTTGTTCGATAGACTTTATTGGAAGCATTTTGCAGATTCTTTAGTACAAGTATATTATTGATAGGCAGATGAGGTAACATTTATCTTGACGGAATATACTTGTTTTTAGAAAGGATGCACAACAAAAGCAATGAAAAATTGGACGAATTTAACAACACATCAATTAATAAAGACGTGATCTCTGCAAGGAGGACCAAACTGATCAGCATCGTGGTATAGCCTCATTACAAATTTCCTGGAAGGTAGGGTAAATGCAGAATAAACCAAAAAACTTCATCTTTTGAGCAAAAGGAAAGAAAGAATCATTTCGCTCGATTTATCCTAAATGTCTCTAGAAATTATATGCATGGTAAGGATGGCAAAACGTGAAGTATATATTGATTATGACGCAATGTTAGGTATTGTCTTTATGACTGTCTGGCTTTCAGTCGATGGCCTTTTTAGTCTTAAATGATAGTGTATTAGAGTAAAAGGCTCATCAAATCCAGCAAGTTTTTTTAGTGTCAAGACGAGACTTAATCAGGAACACCATGAGATTGACAGTCAAGTCAATGCGTCTTTTATTTCTATACGAACAACCGACTTAATAAAAGTTATTTAAAATTTTATCTCTTATAGTCAAACACACGACTGAGACATCGTCAGTACTCGCCTCTTAATAATAAACTAAAAGTCTAAAGGCACGAAGCCCTCATATATGTACAATACAAAGTATTCATAGAAAAATATTAAATTACCATCTTTGGAATTCGACGCATTCATTTGCATGTGTAAATAAAAATTTCGTTTTCCTCTTTCATATTAGGTATTTTGACCAAATCCGCCCACCATTGTTGCATAAATTTGCACCCGGTTTAAGATGCAACTTATTCAATATAACCGAATATTAATGAAGTGTTGTGGTTTTGTCAATCAAATTTATGGCGATGACGAATTCAGACAAACGTCCAAAAAGAGAAAAATTAGTCCAAATGCAAATTTTGACGCCAAATTTGCATGGTTCCGTCTCTTGACGATGGCACTTGAGCACTTAACAACTTACAACACAATTAACTATGCATACGACCTTTAAAGGCAGTTAATGTACGGGATATGCATATGTATAAATAGATATTAGTTTGCATAACTTTTTCGCGTTTATACTCTGCATTGTTGTTTCAAAAGAATTTTGGAATTTTCTCCTTTCGGCTATGATTGTGTATTTTTGGCAATTTCGATCATAAAACCTTAATTGCATTTTGAAAAGTTTTGCTTATTTTCCCACAACTTGGCTTTGGTATAAAATTGTCCGCAGAATCATTGACAGCAACAGAAAACACTAGACTTTCAAACTGTAACAACCATCAACAGAAACAAACTACAAAATGCGTGTATTTTTGGTAAGAGACTTGAAAATAACAGCCATAACAAACAAATACTCAACGGCAATGTTTACAGGTTCTGTGCTCCGTCATCTCTGCGACATACGCAGCCAGCCTCGGCTACAACTATAGTCCAGCGCTTGGTGGTGGATTAAGCTCTGGCCAAATTAGCGGTCCCAGCTACGGTGGTCAAGCTCTGGTTGGCCCCAGCTATGGTGGTCAAGCTCTAGGCGGTCCGAGCTATGGTGGTGCCAGTTACGGTGGCCCCAGTTATGGCGGACAAGCACTAGGTGGTCCCAGCTTTGGCGGCTTTGCTCCTGCTGCCCCAAGCTACAGTGCTCCTGCTCCCGCTCCCGTTGAGGTTAACAAGGAATTCTACACCTACACAGCACCCGAGCATGAATTCAGTGATATCGGTAATGCCGGTGACATCGCTAACGCCTTGAAGAAAAACTTGCGTGTTATCTTCATTAAGGGACCTGAAAACTCTGGACTCGAGAATGCTGCCCTACAATTGGCCAAATTGGCTGGAGAAGAACGCACCGCCATCTACGTACTCAACAAACAAGCTGACATCGGCGATTTGGCTAACAAACTCAACTCGCTCAACAATCAACACTCCCATAAACCCGAAGTACACTTCGTCAAGTACCGTACCCCAGCCGATGCTGAGAATGCCAAGCAAGCTATTCAATCGCAATACGATGGTTTGGGTGGTATTACTAGCCGTTACAATGGCGGTGTAGCGCCAGTGTTGGACTTCGCCTCAAAGGCACCCGCACCAGTCGGTAGCATAGAGAACACCTACTTGCCACCAAACTAAGTGGTGTAATACTCGTGATGGTTGAATGTTATTTAGTTCTTAAAGTTCCTGCTTATTTGTTGTTAAATCTAACCAAAAATACATAAATAAATGTTAAGTTTAATAATAATTTGATTTCTATTATTTATCGGTTCTTCTGTTCGGTTTTGGTTTAAAATTATTATTTTTTATTTCATTTTACAAAGCTGAATAGTGAAGATACAATCTTCTACAAAAATGTATAACTGCTAGCGTATGCTGAAGATATTATGGTCATAACAACCTGCTGTCTGCGGGTTACACAAAGAAGCGAAGCTAATGGGTCTGGTAGTGAATGAGGGCAAGGGGAAATATCTCTTTTCTTCAAACAAGAGTCGTCGCATTCGCGGCTTGGCTCGCACGTCATAACTTCAAACTCGTAGATAATTGTGTGTATGTTGGAACCAGCATTAAAACGAACAACAATGTCAGCCTCGAAATCCAAACTCTTAATAATTGGTGCTACTTCGGACTAAGTAGGCAATTGAGGAGTAAAGTCTTATCTCGACGAACAAAGACCAAATTCTACAAATCACTCAGCATGCAATCACTCCAGCTCTCATAGTATTAGAATCAGTAACCACTAGGGGAAGCAGAGGAAGAGGAAAACCTCAACTCCTTTGAAAGACTTGGTGAAGAAGAACGTCGCCATACTTGGAACTCGAATTGACACCAAACCGTGAAAAGGGAGAACGACTGCCCCGCCGTTGTATACTCGGATTTAACCGCGTAGGTGGTATCTACGCCAATAAAGAAGAAGAATAAGTTTTAGCTCTAAGCCCTTACGAGTGTGGTGCTTCTATGAGAATAGAATTTCGCAGTATCAGGCCTGTAAACACTATTCACTTTTCCAAGTATTAGCAAAACTGTCTGAGAAGATTTTTGTACACAAATTGGATATGCAACAACTACAAATTAAATAATCGAAATCAAACTAATTTACAGATTATGTAAGCTTACGAAGTAAAACAACACCTACAGCCTACAACGATAGCGAGTCGATGATGCGTTCGCTTTAACAGCCAATCACTCGATGCAGGGAGAACAAGCTCGTCGTGAGCATATATATGATATAAATATATGTAAATCCAAGCCAAAACTAAAAATAACCTTGTAGGGATGAAATTTGGTCATGAAAACAGTTACTTTTTATTATTTACCTATTTACCACCAAATAAACCGCGAATATTCATATGTGATATTTTATATACTTTCGAAGATTTCTCTGCTTGTGGTTTTCTTTCCAAAAAATATTCGTCTGCCGAACGACTTCGCTCAACGGACTAGCGCCCAATTTGAATTGTTTCGAATTCGATTAGCATTCGCGCATTTGAGCATTTACAATCGAATAATGCAAAAATCGCGGAATATATTTAACATTTATATTTCAAAGAGTGTGACAAATAACAAAATATGCAAACTGGTCGATTTAACCGCCGAAGACACGACCTTCAATAGGTAGTCGCTCATAAGTGAATTTTTAATGCGAATCTGGCATTCATATAATATTTTCATAATTTTTGCAAATATTTCATAACTTTTCATTATACTGAGTTCAAATATCATTAAAATACCAAAAGTTTTGCAAATTTCTTTTTTTATTTTTGCAAAAAGTACGAATTTCTGCACAGAAGCAAAATTTGTATAAATTTGTCGAAAAATTTGGAGTGATCAACAGTAAGCAGCAGATTCGCAAACTGAAGCCACAACCAAACCTAAGCTACGAAATGCGTGCCTTTATTGTAAGTCAGCAAAGTGTTTCGACCTATGAACCAAGCCAACGCACATTGTTCAATAATTTTACAATTCCAGATCCTGTGCTCCGTCGTCTCTGCGACCTACGCAGCCAGTCTCGGCTACAACTATGAGATCAACAATGGTCCAGCGCTCGGTGGTGGATTAAGCGGTGGCCAAATTGGCGGCCCAAGCTACGGTGGTCAAGCTCTGGGTGGCCCCAGCTATGGTGGTCAAGTTTTAGGTGGTCCAAGTCACGGCGGACAAGCTCTTGGTGGTTCCAGTCTCGGTGGTCATGGCGGTGCAAGTCCAAGCTTCGGTGGTCTCGGTGCTGCAGGTCCAAGTTTCGGCAACGTTGGACATGCTGGTCCAAGCTACAATGCACCCGCTGAGGTTAACAAGGAATTCTTCACCTACACTGCACCCGAACATGAGTTCAATGATGCTGGTGATGCCGGTGATCACGCCAACTCATTGAAGAAGAACTTGCGCGTTATCTTCATTAAGGGACCTGAGAACTCGGGACTCGAGAATGCTGCTTTGCAATTGGCTAAATCGGCTGGCGAAGAACGTACTGCTATCTATGTGCTCAGCAAACAGGCTGACATCGGTGATTTGGCTAACAAATTGCAATCACTCAACCACCAAAACGCACACAAACCCGAAGTACACTTCGTCAAGTATCGTACCCCAGCCGATGCTGAGAACGCCAAGCAAGCTATTCAATCGCAATACGAAGGTTTGGGCGGTCACACTAGCAGCCACAACGGTGGTGTTGCACCAGTGTTGAATTTCGCATCGAAGGCACCCGCAGCCGCACCAGTTGGTCAGCAATATGGTGGATCACCAGTCAGTGGTGTGGAGAACACCTACCTGCCACCAAACAAAGTCTAAAAGCGTAAACGCTTTGTTCGATGAGGGCAGCACGCCATTTCTGCCAATAGTTAGGTTGTTGAATATTTTCTAAGCTCCAGTGTTCCGTACTGAATACATTTATATTTGTATGTACGCAGTTATGTGACTGCAAAAAACAAAAATAAATTTTACTAATATTTTAAGTATAATTCGAAATAACGGCATTATGTTTCTATCCACGATCAGTCGCCTATCATTCAGCGATCAATCAGCGATCAAGCAATAGCTCACATACTTTTAGGCTGAACAAAATGTGATTTAGTGTTAAGACTAAATATATGAGTAATCGGTTGCAAGAAAGTAGTCAAAGACTGTGTACGCAGACAGTATTTTATATAAGAAAAAAGGTTCTAATGCACCTTAGCATTTGATTCTCTGGGAAACTGGAATCAAAGCAATGTGAAATGTTTCGGATGCTGGGGGAGGGGTAGTGTTATGTATGACCAATTCCGAGACCATGTAATGATATGGTTGTTGAATAAGTCCAGCCTATATTTACGAAGGTAACTCGCAATATGTGGTACTTTCATATTGATATAAGATTTAAATTTCAATATTAATTCAGACGCCCCCTTTACAGAGGTCTTACGACATCTGTGGAAAGATTCTGTTTATGGGATTTTGTTTTTTTTTTTTTTTAATTGATTTGATGATGTCAGATAGATGAACGGAGATTGATTAGAGAATTTAGAGTAAAGGCATTATGGGAGTAAGATTTTACAAAGCAATTGAAGAGTTAGTGTTGTAGAGTAGTAGTAGTAGTAGTAGTAGTGTAAAGTTGTTGCATCCATCGAATGAATGAGAAATATATTTTTTCTGCAATATTTTTGTAACTTAAGATACGGATAACTTCTTAGCTTTTTTAATGTGGTACGACTTGATGGCAAGGAAAGCAATGCTTATTCATCTGATCGGATATATGTTTACCATCGAAATCAAGGGAGGTGTTGATGACCACCTATCCACATATTATACGAGTAGTATGGGGATATTCGTATAGAAGGTGTGTTCAAAAAATACCCCGATTTGTCTTTGTTTTACACAGGTTAAGGATAAGGATAAGGATAAGGAATAGAAATAGGAATAAGAATAGGAATAGGAATAGGAAAATGCAATTGAAACAGCAAAATGAATATGAGTGAAGAGAAAATTAGGGATAAGGAATAATCATAATGTTAGGAACACTAAAAGATCTAAAAAGGGTATAGTGAAGAATTGGAATATCAAGAAAGAAAAATAGTATGCTGGGAATCATGAATGGAGATTGAAATTGAGTAAAATAGAAATCATCACATCTTACTAAAACTGATGGAATGCGAAACAAACAAATTCAAAAGTTAAGAAAAAGAAGAGCAAAAATATCAATGAAAAAAAATTAAGTAAACCAGCGGAGGAGCTGTCGCTTTACTTCCGTATCCATTTTTAAAGCCAAAAGTAAACAACAGGAAAAAATTAACTGACAAATTTGTACGCTAATTTCCGGCTGAAATAGTTAGGATAGGTCGCCATCTAAAATAAAAAAATATTATTTTTCATAAATTTTCTTTTCAGTACAACTTTCCCCTCTCTATGCGTTCATGTCAACAGTCAAACACCGTCTAAGTCTACGTGATCGTTTAAGCTGTACTTATATACCTCGATTTAATTAAAAGGCAAACCAATAAAATCATTATACAATAAGCATTCAATAAACAAGGATGATATAATATCATACACACGTTTCCAAATTAACATCTCGAATAAATTCTCCATCTCTGTGCGCATAAATTGGCAATATATTTTGAATTGCAATAGTGACCTGGAAACAATGTTGAAAACTAATCTTTTTTCTTTGTTTTATTCACTAATTGGCAACGCGTGAATATATGCTTTGTTGTTGACAAAATTTGTATAATCAAGTCAGATGTCCAAAACTAAACTAAGTCAACGCATCTGCGGACGCCTGATTAAAGCCAAATATGAATATTTTCACTTTAAAATTCATTCGGACGTTTAACGACTTACAGCGACGATCGTACGATGAATATTTATAATGCCTAACGAGGATGTTTGTCTATGCGACAGTTTGACACGATGATGCGACCTTGAGCCGATGGTTTTTTGGTAACAGACCAGTGCGAATTTTGCATGTATGTTATAAAATTTATTTACAGAATATTTGACATTTATGTTTCTGTTATGATGATTTTTATATTGGCAAACTCATTCAAAAGTATATCGTTGCATTTCAAAATATTTTGCATTTTTATACGAAACTATTTTCGTATAAAATTGACTGCAGTTTGGCTGAAACAAACAGAAAGCAACTGAGTTGCAAGCTAAAACGATACACAATACAAACTACAATATGCGTTCATTTTTGGTGAGACAACTTCAAATAATACCAACCACACTAGAAACAGCTAACACTCATTTTTCTCTCCTTTCCAGATCGTTTGCTCCGTTGTCGCTGTCGCCAACGCAGCCAGTCTCGGCTACAACTATGAGGCCAACAGTGCTCCAGCGCTCGGTGGTGGATTAAGTGGCCCAAGCTATGGAGGTCCCAGTTATGGTGGTCCAGCGTTAAGTGTGCCCAGTTATGGCGGACAAGGCCTTGCTGGCCCCAGCTATAGCGGCCCTTCGGCTGCTGGCCCCAGCTATGGTGGCCCTTCGGCTGCTGGCCCAAGCTCCTTTGGCGGTCTAGGTCCTTCTGGTCCCAGCTACAGCGCTCCCGCTGCTGGTCCTGCTCCCGTTGAGGTTAACAAGGAATTCTTCACCTACACTGCACCCGAACATGAATTCAACGATGCCGGCGATGCCGGTGATCACGCCAGCTCATTGAAAAAGAACTTGCGCGTTATCTTCATTAAGGGACCTGAGAACTCGGGACTCGAGAATGCTGCTTTGCAATTGGCTAAATCGGCTGGCGAAGAACGTACTGCCATCTATGTGCTGAGCAAACAGGCTGACATCGGTGATTTGGCTAACAAATTGCAATCACTCAACCACCGCAATTCCAACAAGCCCGAAGTGCACTTCGTCAAGTACCGTACCCCAGCCGATGCTGAGAATGCCAAGCAAGCTATTCAATCGCAATACGAAGGTTTGGGCGGTAACACTAGCAGTCACAATGGTGGTGTTGCACCAGTGTTGGACTTCGCCTCGAAGGCACCAGCTGCTCCAGCTGCTCAGCAATATGGAGCCGCACCAGTTGGTGGCGCTGAAAATGCTTACTTGCCACCCAACAAGCGCGTGTAAATGAATGTGTTGGAAGAATCTTCTAGAACTAATTTGTTAAATATTATTTAAGCTTTAATGTTCCTGCACAATTCTTTTGTGCAAATTGTTACCAAAAAATAAAGAACAATGTTAAATTGTAAATAAATGTCGGAGCGCCCAGCTCTTAATTCAAAGTAACATTTTTAATTTTGAATATTTTCTTCCAGATACTTTTCAGTTTCCTCGTTATTGCTTAGATTTTATATGGAGCTTAGGAATTAGTTGTCTCTTTGATGATATCAAAAGCACTTAACATTCAGCAATTTAGATTTCATTTTATATTTGGTGATATTTAACATATACTACCTAAACTGGAGATATTTTTTGACAATTTGTATCATTTTCACTAGAATCCAACGAAAATGTAATTTTGAACATAAATGTTGCTACCCTTGCGCTCTAATTCTTGCGAAGTAACCATTCGTGAGTGGATTGCTAAATTCTATACAGACTATATTAGCGTCGAAGACGATATACGCTGTTGAGATCCAAAAGAAACATTTATGGACAAAATTATCAATATATCATTTTTGCTATATGAAAATAAGGTAGATAGCTGACCCTAGAGAACTTGTTGAATGTAGTGTTCTGGAAAATTTTTATATATGAAAGCTTTCTGCATAAGCTCATAAGCTCATAACCGAAGGATTCCTCACGTTATAAATCAATGAAAATGTCGCGTCCACTATATTCTCGGAATCTGAACTTCTGCGACTTTTTTCTATTCTTAGTGCTTAAAGGAATGCTCGCTCTATGGAAATCGATGAGACTTTGACTCTACAAACTTGACATCTAAAAGTTCCAAGTTGGAAGGTGGATTATCCACCATATATTGATAGCAAAATCGAGTTTTGCCTAATAAAATGTGAGATATGCATGTGTAAAATAGTTGAATACCACTTCCGATTAAATATTCGATGTGGGACAGAACGTCCGTTCGGATATTTTGTCCCAAGAGTGGACCGAGTCTTATTAGAGCAAATAAAACGTGAAAGTAATGATATAAAGTAGTGAGCCATAAACATATTAGTCCAATTTTGAATATGGATACAATTTGTTACATAATTTCCAAATTAAACAAAAATCTGTAAAATATCTTATTGTCGCAGTTGCATATATAAGGAAGAATTAAAAACTGCTAAAGCAGCGGTAGAAGATGTGGCATCGAGACAGATCCGAATCTACATCCAGCCGATAATTGTTATCTGCACACAGAACTTCAAAAATTATAAGACCTTTTAGCTAAAATTTTGAGCAAAAACCATGACTGTCAGTGACATCTGTGCCAAATGTCACATCAAAATAATCATTGGGCTTTAGTATACCTTTGATTTTCTGAAGTACATAAAGTAATTTTACGGTGAGCGAAATTATTCATGCGGATTCAAATTTCTGGTGCTTAAGCATTCAGAATGTTGGAAAAGGCCTTCGGTGATACTTGTTTGTCGTGAGAAAGTGTTTTTGATTGGTACAAGTTATTCAAACATTAAACACCTCTGAAACTTTCAACTAGTCTTGGATCTTTGCCTACGACCCGGAAACATACAATCAATCGCCCTCATATGGTAGCAAAGGTGAGCCGAAGACGAAAAATCACGTCAAAGCAGGTCAAAAATCAATGTTATGTTGACAGTTTGCTTCGACTTCTGTGGTGTGGGCTCCAAAAAATACTATTCTCAGAAACGTTTTTTATTTTTATTGAAAAATTTCCAAATCATTTTCAAATCACTATGTTTAATCGTCTAATGTAAATAATCAAACTTTGTCGCGGGAATTTTTAAAGTTTGAAAACCAACTTTTTGAATATGTGATGGTATTTTTCGGAAACGAAAATTAATGGGTGAAATCTTCGTTTGATGAATTAATGAATAACGAAAATTCCTAATTTAAATGTATAGGAAACTAAAAAAACTAGCTTGAGGGAAGATTTTTTTTTTTTGTCAATCACGAACATTTCAGCGAGTAAGAGTTGAAAAATTGAATTCAAAAATTTTCTTTAAGTAGGGTGCATACAAACTGATCGATCAACTGTACGGAAAATTTTTCTGTGCTTCTGTGCAGCCGATGTCAACTTGTTTTCTTGGCAACTTACCTTATTTTAATTAAGAAAAACCAACCATACTAACTACAACAAATAAATAGACCAAGTTTCATGCTTATTATAAATATTTTTATAATGTCTTATTACTAACAAACAACAATACTAATTATAAACAACAAAAATAATACTAAAATAACACATGTATGACACTTAAACGAACAAAAAGTAATCGGCACTGACGCTTGCGCAATAAATCAATTTATCAAATCGCCATGGCGCTAAACCAATTTATTCAAGAAATTGATTCGCTCCGGTTTTATGATGAACACAAATTGATTTATGGTGTAAGCTTTGTCCAATTGATCACGCATTTGATAGAGCGCTCGTGCGTTGGTCGGGTTTCTGGCATCTGTAAATAAATTACATCAACAAGTAATTAAAATAAGTGAGATTACAAGAGTTTCGCTTGTGTGCTGCTACAACAAACCTTTGGCCAACGGCGCTGGTATGATGTAAGCATTCTTCTGCGATTTCAATATCAAAACATCGGTGCTGTTTAGCTTATTTGGCAGTTCTAAAGCGCTGGGATTCGACAGCGGCGCCAAGCCAGGTGTTTCTAACGGCGCTTCACCATTGGCTTCCAATAGTGTGGATGCCAAAATCCGTGCCGCCTCCAATGTGAGATTTTGACTAGGCGTCAGCAGGGACGATGTGGGCTCTTCGACCATGAGCAACGGTGTATTGACGAGTGGCAGATCGCTGGTCAACTGCTTCGTATAATCAGTGTATAACGATTGTTGCTGTTGGTGTAGCTGCTGTTGCTGATGCTGTTGTTGTTGCCGCTGTTTTAGCTGCTGCATTTGCATTTGTGTTGGCGTTTGTGCAGCTGGTGAGAGGTGATCCACCAAGGACTTGGGGAAGAGCGTGGGCAACGGCACTTGATTGGCAGCCAGCGGTTGCGAGTATAAAAATGGTGCCGAGCCGGAGGCCGGTGCTGCATATGAGGTGTAGAGATTTTTTGTGGCTTGCTGTGGGTTACTTAAGTTTTTGCTGGCAAACTGTTGGGTTGACTGGTGGATTTTGTTCGCTTGCTGTGCTTGGTATGTGGTAGGTGGTCTGATTGTGTTGGAACTGTAGTTTATGGATTTCTCAACTGAAATGTATAATGAACGAAGTGCATTTTTTTACAATAAAGAAAAACTCGTGTTGGAGGAAAAGTTAGTTTAAGTAATTTAAAACCTCAAAAAGTTAAATATTCTTAAAGAACGTAGCATCAGAAAGCGACCACGATATAGCAGGGAAATCAAGGAAAAATGAATATAAAAAAAAAACTGTTATAAATCTTTCTGGAATAATTCTCATTTTGTAATAATGAAATCAATTTAATTTTTCCAAAAGGTGACAATTCTGTTCGAAAATATATTTGCATTCATCCTCTGAGCGTTTTCTGACCGATTTTCTAAATATTTTCCACACTTTTGGTAATCAGTTAAAATTTTTGTTCTACGTGACAAGAGACCTTTGAGCAAAACATCACGCACGATATTTGACAGTTACTACTCGAAATGTTCGAAAGAATCATCGAAAATTGGACTCAACGGATAGACCATCAGTCACGTAGCCATGGCCAATAATAATGTGAATGAGATAATATTAAAAAAAAAAAAATTTTTAAAGAATGTTATTTCGATTAATAATAAAAACTCCCCATTAAATTTTAAGTAATTGTAATTTTTTCTTCAAAAAGTAGGAGACCTCGAACTGGATCACCTTTTAAAACCTTTCCTGTAGCAATAGGTGACAACCAAGAAGTATCGTCGTGGTACGAAGACTTAGGTCGAAATTTGTACGTTCATTATACATATAAAAGGTGCGTTCCAACCTAAACAAAATTTCGAATCTAGCGCCACCCGGTGATGCCATCTATATGTCGACTGGTGCTTTAGAATCTGCTATCTTTATCGATTGTCCAGTGAGAATTTCATGACATTTCGTCATTGGAAGTGTAGTTATTGCCAACATTCAATTTTGTTTTAAAATTGGTAAAACTTTTAGCGAAACATTTCAATTGTTGTAACAAGTTTACGGCGATGATTGCCTATCCCGTAGCAGAGTGCGCGAGTCGCTTCAACGTTTTCAAAGTGGTCGTCAGGACATAAATGACGATCAACTTGTGAGCCAATCAAAATCCGTGGTCACCGGAAATTCTATTGAAACTGTGCGTGAATTCATCAAAGCTCAGCCGAAATCATCATTGATATTCATGGAAATGGAATTAAACATCTCCAAAATATCAATTTATCGCATTTTGACCGAGCATTTAGGCTTAAGAAAGGTGTGTGCACGGTTTGTTCCAAATAAGTTGACTGACGACCATGCTCAGAATTCAACACTCGAAGGGTATCATTACGAAACGCCAGAGCGCTGAATGGAAGTCACCGGATGAACCGCAACCCAAAAAATCGCGCGTGGAGAAGTCAAAAGTAAAGACAACGCTGATTTGTTTTTATGATTCCAAGGGTATTGTCCACAAAAAATTTGTTCCACCCGGCCAAAACGTAAATGTGGTATGCTGCCTTAGAGTTTTGAAGCGTTTGGGGTGCCGTATTCGACGTGTTCGGCCCGAATATCGCGAAGATGGAAGTTGGCATTTGTTGCACGATAATGCGCCGTCTCATCGATCGACGCTTGTGACCGATTATTTGACTAAAACTCGCATTTTAACCAATAACTACTCTCCGTATTCCCCTGATATGGCACCGCGTGAATTCTTTCTTTTCGAAAACATGCATTTGCCTATGAAAGGAAAGCGTTATGCAGACGTAGAAGCCATTCAAAGGCTTGCACCGGCATACTGGCGGCCATACCGGCCAACGAGCTAAAACACTCTTTCGACATGAAAAATCTTTATAATATACTGCATGGAGAAAAATTATCGCATTTTGAAAGGACTATTCCTTTAATTTCAAGAATCAAACCCTACTACTGATCGAATTATAGTTGTAAACTTAACACTTTCGCTTACTTTGTAAAACGAAAGACTTTTTAACCGAATTTTAGCTTCTTAAATAATGGATATTCGAATAATCTCCACTCCAAATCACTTCACAAATTCTTTCATACGAAATTTCGGTTCAAACTCACCAATACCCTCTTTCTCCGTAGTATAGGGTGGTAAATATTCATTATTTCTTTGTTGCGATTTCACAGGATGACTAATTCGGAGAGGAGAAAGTGTAGCGCCATAAGTTATCCATAAATTCTGGTAGCACAGACACATAAACAGTAAAGCTTGCACAAGAGTGGCCTAAAGGATATTATTATTACTAATTGTTTTTATTTTTATATTTTGAAATATTTTTTAATTTTTTTTTTTACCATTTTGAAGTAGGCTTAAAAATTTATTGTAAATTTTTCTCAATTACATAAAAACAGCACTTTTATATTCAAAAGAAATAACTGTATCAACAAACAACGTTAACAGTACACGCGACCGAACCATAAATCATACTAAACAAATTTCCAATAATTACAAAGGTTTATAAAACAAACAGAATCGATGCGCCAACGCTCATTAAATCTGGTTAGAGGAACTGTGGCCAAGAGGCGCGTTCACTGTATCGACAACTGAGAAAAATGATCTTCATCTGTCACTTGCACGCAGTCGCCTTGTCCGGCACCACTTAACTCGAGGTAAAGTAGCAATTACAGCTGTTGCAGCACAGCATAGAGTTAGTAATGTTTGTGGATCGATCACTTAAACCAAAAGTTAATAAAGCAATTGCACTCATCTCCGTGATGATCATTAAAAACAATGAAAGAAATAATCAAACGAACGCAAATAGATCAAACAACGCAATGCTACAGTAGCTGTGAGGTAGCAACAAAAACAGCACCAAAGTGTAACTTTTACGGCCCTGGCATCCATTCATCATACAAACATATGAGTTATACTACAACTGGCTTACCAAGCAAAGCTCATCAGCGACTAGTTAGCGAAGCATGCGGTGGTCCAACAACAGCGTTGGAGATTTTACGTGCCTAGATATGTATTTAAATATGTACATACATACATACAGGTATCCAAACTATTCAATTTGAACGAAATTCGACCGCGCAGACGAGCAACTGCGGCGTTGCGAGGCAGCGGCTTTTGCGGACGTTCATTGATCTTACTTGAAGCGCCGCGTGCAGTAATCGAGAAGCTTGTATTACTTGTACATTAGTAATTGAAACACTATCTTAATATATTTTTTCTTTTGCACTACTGTAGTGTACAGTGACCTAGCGTTGGTGGTCAGTTTGTAGAGCGCACGCGTAAACACATCATTAATAGCAATCAGTCAGCGGCTTAATGTTTTCATAGCGCGAGATTCAAATGTGCCACAGCACAATTGACTGTTTAAGGCTAAGTACACAGCGGAGCGCAGGCCAATCACTATTTATTATTTGATTTAAAAGAGAAGAGAAAAAACTCAATTTCGGGCTGGCTGTGCACCAAATTGTGTTGATTTACAGAAAAGCGTTTTATACAGATCATTCTGAATAACTTTGCATAAGAGACCATGCATCTAAAATCGGTTTCGAGCCTGCGATTTTTAAGGCGATGATATTTGGGATGAAATTCAATTTGTTGGTGCATTCTACGGATCATTTATTGGAATCAGTCGTATCGGACTACTATGTCGCATGTAGCGACTTGTGACATACAACTATTCATTCAGAGTTTTAAACTTCGTCTTAAAAATCGGTGACTGAAAATCATGGTTAGATACATAGTTTATTAGGTAGAGTGGTTCATAATGACCTCTAGAAAGCGACCCGCTCTACGAAGCACACGTATCAGCCATTTTACATTTCATCTCATCTTAAAGTAATCATAAGAAACTTCTTCCATCACTCTGTTTCTGACCTAATGATGTTCAGATCTCATCATAATTACTATTTTTTTGCCTTTAGCACTGGCTGCTTAACTCAATTGATTGAAGTGTGCCTTCAAAAGAAAGAGAGAGTATGTACAACTTAAGTCAAAAAGAAGAAAACACGTTGACTTCTGATGCAATGCAGCTATTATACCTTGCACAGGTATATTGTTTATAGATACTATAATTATAATTTAATTTGAAAATTTAACCGTTTTATTTCCAACGGAAAGTGTTATCTAGTTCTTTCTAATCACTTTGTTTAGTTTAAACAATCTTCAAGTTGAATTTGAAAATAATGGATAAGGAGAAAAGATCTCTTATGAAGATTTTTGGATTTATTTTCATCGATCAGTATGCTTGACAGTTATATGCTGCAATGCTTGGATTCTTACAATGCATATATTCGGAGATTGTACTATGTTAGATTTCGTGTAAAAAAAAAATCTCCATATAATATATATATATACTTATAGACCGTCTGTCTGTCTGGAACAAATTCATGATGCACCAAACTATGAACAGCGGCTTTAGAATTGATTTCTTTGCTTATCGAACTCATAAATACATATCTCATCTCCATGCTCTCTATGAATATGGGATAGATTTTCGCAAGCATCGGTCAAGCATCATTTGAACGCACTCGCGAGAGATGTCGAGCGCTCTTGTCATCTCTCTAACTCTTGCCTGACGATTCGCAAGCACCAGTTGAAGTGGTCGAAGGTCATACCGAACGAGCCAGGTCTTCAATGGTCTTTCGACCGTCTTTGAACCACTCGAAATCTTGTGTTTTTGATAAAACTGAATCACTGAAAGCCTTTTCCAACATTAGCAATGATTCCGCATATGAATTTCTGTTAAGAATGAAAAATTTTAGACGTTTGTTCAATATTTTCACATTCGTAAATATCGCAACGCACTACAGAGGTATACCGACCATAGCAGCGGCTATAAACAAACTGGTTAACAGACCGCGCTCGTTTTTGGCATAGTAATTAAAGACAGTCTTACCAACTTAGCAAAATGAATTTTTTTAAATTAATTTTTAACCGATGAACTTAATTACAACTTCTGGGTGCTTTCTTATCACATTATATCTAGGTGATAAAGTCTGTCTTGGAGAGTTTTTTATATTCAGCCTTAGGAAGAATTGCGGTTGAAAAAACTGCCAATTTAAACCATTAATTTGAAGGCATCAATATAGAGCTTTATAAGACCGAACTTTGTAAATAAAAAATTGGAATATAATTCAATATATAAAAAAAAATAGTTTTTTGAAGCATTAAAAATCATTGCTATTTGAATAAAGTGCTCAAAAATAAACGTTTCAGACTCGAAAATATTTTTTTCACATTTGTGCTTTGGCCCCTTGAACTGAGTTTGCATGCGTAGTATGTAGATTGGCATTGCTGAGTATTATAATTATGTTCATTGAGTTGTTTCGTGAGCCATTATCATTAAAGTGGAGTAAACAGTAATAGTGCTTTCACATTTTTACTCAACCTTGATAGAGAAGGGGAATATGAATAAAAAAAAAATATTTGTGAATAAGAAAATCCCTTTGGAAGTTTTTGGATTTTTGATAATATTGACGGTCTTTCAAAACAGTAGAGTTCTATTTGGAAGCAATTTGATGACTTAAAGTTTAATGTCGAAACAGATTGAACGAACCTAAAACTATTTTTTTCGTTTTTTTGCGTTTTGGATACCCTACATTTTATAGTCATTGAAATAGTCACTGAATCAGTCAGTAAAATGTGATGCGTCAGCTAACCAAAATGAACCCAAACTATTTAACAATCTCGGTGAATATACTTTATATAGTGCAAATTGGAGCGCATCTAATAAAACACTAAAAAAAGGCACTGTTCAAGTTTTCGCCTGAAATTTGATTAATATCAAAGCAAAGGCAGAGAAAATACAATGAAAAAGCATAATTAAGTTAAAAGACAAAACAAAAAAAAATGGTCGGTTGCTATGGACCTAACGCCAACGTATAGCCGGCGGCCGGCACTACAGAAGACTGCGACCATTAATTAGTACCAAAAGCGTTTCAATTTAAACAAAACTGGTAGCGTTTTTTAATAAGAAAACGAAAACGCAGAACACGAAAAATAAACTACAAACCAGACTCGTAAAACTATTTTTGTTTTAATTTTCGCAACTTTAATGAAACACTAATCATGCACTAAACAATGAAACATGTTGATCAACATGAAATCTACATTTTAATGTTGCATTATGAGCAGCTGAACGAACAACTTTAGTTATTAATATATACAAAAATCGGCTTCTAATTTGGTTGGGGGTATAAAATGAAGCTTTGATGGCTGGAGGCGTCTTAGTTGGCGGTGAATTCGTGTTAGGTGATAAGTGTGATAACAATTATATAATAGCAAAATGAAATTCGTAGTGGTAAGTTAAATATTTTTTTTAATAACTATGTGTTCCATTGAAGAAAGTTTCCAAATTCAAACAAAAATGATTTGAATGAATAGAATTTGTGAGAAAATTGTGTCAGTGAGTCAAAATGTGGCAACGATTTCAACCAAACGCGTGTGAGTTACGTAAGAATTGTTAGGTAGTTTTTTTTTTTGCAAAATGTTGAAATATCAAATGTGTATTAAACAATTCTAACTCGATAGAAGAGACTATAGGAGCATGATGGGAATACTAACTGGTCACTGTCTGGTAGCGACGTACGCCCGCAAGATGAGGCTGATAGATGGAGAAAACTGCATAAAATGCCTTGAGAAACAATGGAGCATGTCTTATGCACTTATCTCGCATTGGCAACACTACCATGTAAGCATTTGGCATCCTCACAGTATGATTCACTGGAGGAGGTATCGACAGTAAAGCCCCACAATCTGTTAAAATTCGCATCAAGCGTAGCCATCCTAAACGTTGACTACTCCTCTCGCGAAGGGCCAAACTGGTCTAAGTGCGGCTTATTGGCCTACCATATTAACCTAACCTAACCAATTCTAAGTTTTAGAAGAAACATAGTTGAAAAACTTGTTTATATTGAATTTTTCGACTTTCAAGATTATGTATTATAATTTTCTCAAACAAACCAGAACAGTTTTCGTTTGGTGCAGAGTCCAGCATTGATATAAAAATTTATAATTTTTAATAATAGATCTATTTATCCATCAACTATGTGTTTCAAAATTTCATAAAAATATATTTATTATGTAAGTGAGCCCAGCTAAGTAGTCGTCGAAATGGCCTTTATTTAAGAGATCTTTCATGTGCTAAGTTTAGCGCTCAATCCTCAGGCTCTGACTTTTAGTGATATTTAATTTCGAAATAGTTCTAATCATTGTCCATCACTATTCTTTCCTGAGAAATCGGTAAATCACGCTTTTCTTTCCATAACTATAGGAATATAGCAAGAGAGCTGACAAGATCGAATTGTGTTTCAAGTCAATGACTTACAAATGATTTAACGTTAATAATAACTTCTGGCAAAATTTCACCTCAAGCTGGTATTCGAACTTTGAGAGTAAACTAACCATCAATTTTCGGTACTCAGTTCTATAAAAAGTGGCTGACTTAACAAAAAAGTCTTTCTATCTTCTACAAAAAGTCTACATATAAGCCTGTCTATGTATATTTTCAAGCTCATCTTCGCAATCTTGACTTGCTTCGTGCTTCTGTCAACCGCAGCACCAGCTAATGAACCTGGCGTACAATTCCTGAAATATAGCAACGATCAGGAGCTTGAGGAACTGCAAAAACAAATCATCGGTAAGTAAATTATGAAAAACTATTTTATAATTCACCATCATTAAATATTAAAATGAAGTGGCTTATATACATAATTTGACCGTATAAATCAATATTGAAATTAACCAGCTGAAATCAACCGGTTAAGTAGATACTTCATTTATATATGTCTGTATGTAAATGTAAATGTGAAAAGTGCTCATATTTTTTAATAATTTCCTGTTATACATCTGATTTAAATTAATATTAATATTGCTTTCGCCTTTCAGCTCAATACGAACACCTTGGAGGCACATCGCAATTTCATCAAATTCAAAGTGCCAGCGTTGTTGATACGGCCACTTTGAGAATCAGTATCTAAGATGTAAATTAATACAAATGTGTATGTTATAATGTTATTGTCTTTTGGAAAATCAATAAAAATCTGTTATATTTATAAAACAAAATCTCTATTGATCGAAGGAAAATTTCCACTATGATATTTATTATCGGTACTTTGAGTGTCAATCGTAGACGTAAATTTGAGTGTAAAAATTATATTATATTGTATTCAAACGAAAGTCGGTATTGAAAACTTTGCTTCAGCATTGTCCTACTATTAAGAAGGAAAGTACTAATTTCGGATGAAAACATATGTTTTAACAAATAATTCAACTTTATTTAACGTTCCGTAAAGAATCTGTTTCGTGTACTTATGGGCTCTTGAAAAGTTCCAAGAAGATCCGACGTTTTCGAGACAAATTTTGTTCATCGATGAGGCCCATTTCTTGCTCAAAGGGTATGTAAACAAGCAAAATTACTGCATTTGGAACGAAGAGAAATTGAAGTTCGTGCTTGTGATGATCTTTGGTTTCGAGAAGACAACGTCGCTCCTACAACTCGCATTAATCAATGGATTCCTTGAGAGAACACTTCGGTTGCAGATAATTTCATGTATTGGGCCAGTCGATGGTCACTATGATCGTGTGATAAAACACCGTTAGACTTTTTCCTGTGGGAATATCCATTAAATTTGGAATATCTATGTTTTTTCTTTGTGAAAGTAGGAAGCCTCGAAATGGATCACCCTTTATAATTGATCAGCATGACGAACTGGGTCGTGTCTGAGTCCGTCTGTCCATCAGTTTTTGAGATATCGATCTGTAATTTTGCAAACATCTTTTTCTCTCCACGGATATACTTATTTGTAGAAACGGCCGATGTCGCATATACTTGCCACACAGACTGAAAGATCGGAATAAAGTGATTGCTTGAATAACTTTTTCATATGACGAGATGCCTTGGTTCATTATCATAACGCCACCGAGTTAGCAATAACTGCTCGGACAAACAACAAGAGTGATACTAGTTAGATAGCGTTGAATGCTGTCAACGGTGATATGTTCTCTTACGCATGCGGCAATTGTGATGCCAGCCATTAGCAATAATAAAGAGATTAGAATATTATGGCATACATAATTCAGTCTTAGGAAAACCATTCATTAACGAATAAAATCTTCAAAGCGATCCGAATCCATCGATGAAAGAATGAATAAATTATTATAAATAATTAAGTTAGATAAAATAAAAAAAAAAATAAAAAATTTCTAATTTTTCTTAATATAATATTACATTAGGACCAACGTATGCATAAATATATGTGTTGCCGTACTTTTGAATCTGTCAAAAAAGACTCACCGACATTAAAAATATATAAAATTAAATGAAAACAATACAAAAGAAAGAAAAATATCAAAAATAAAAATCGCACAAAATGTTATTTATTATCTTTTACTCTCTAAAGCTGCCCTCCCTCCTAAATAAATACACATATATGTATGTATGTTACACTGCATAACCGTATCTACTCGGAACAGTCATCCGATAAGAAAGCAAGCTCAGAGAATCACAAATTTGTTTACGCTACACACTTCAGTGTTTCACTCACTACAGAAGCGCGCGGTTTGCAGATCGCTTAAGAACGTCTTTGTGCTCTAGCTTTCATCACTTTGCAGAGCTTCGTGTCAATATTAGTCCATGAAGTAAGCAGGAAATGTGTTTTCAAACGGTAATTTGCTTGCTCGCAACCGCAACGGTTTTGAGTCAAGTAAATGCGCAAAGACATTTCCCACCGAAACCACCACCACTACCAAACGATATCATCGAAGAGTCGGTGACACGCATCAAAGACTCAACTTTTGAAGTTGACATTGTGTCTATTGTGAGGCGACCCAACGTCGGCATTCGACGACCAGATGGCCCACCACCACCAAATTTTAATCGCAGGGAAGATAATGTGAAAATAGTATTTCCGAGCAATTCAGATGAGCAACCCAGCGAAAGTCGTATATCAGAGTTCGAAAATAATAATCGCGAATTTGAACGTAATGTCGGTCAAGATCAAAGACGAAGAGAAGGAGAGCGTGAACGTGAACAAGAATTTCGTCGTAAAAACGGAAATGAACTTGAACCTGTTAACATATTTAATCAGAACGCAGAACGGAATTTTTATGGCGAAAATGTAAACGAACCGGAAGTGTTTAATGGCGATCGTCGACAAAATAGCGAAAGTTCACGGCAACCCATTAGGAATCAACAACGGTCGGAAGACAATAAAAGGCGGCTCTGTGAAGTAAGTAAGTATACCTTGCAGTACACAATCGAGCAAATACTATAAGTGAGTCTTAATTATTATTTTTAACAGAGTACAATGAGTATATTGCAAACATATATAGCAATGATGCAGAGACCACGGCGGATGCGAACGATACAGAGTTCGATGGTCGTGTTTTGGCAACACCCGGTGAATACCCGCATATGGTAAGCTATGCATTTATACATCATACATACAGATATACATTCAACTCAAGTGGAAAAAATACAGCAGAAACAAAAATAATATGAATTCGTGGTATATTCTGATGACAATGGAATGCAATGCCATTCAAAAAAGATCGAAAAAGGCTATAAAAACAAAGTATTGAGATGATGAGTACTTATACGATCGCTCAAATCAAGATCAAGTAAATAAGAAAAAAAATATGAGAAGTGATAATTAATATTCGTAAAAAGTTGCAATGGGATTTTTACCTTTAGGACTCTATACTTAGTTTCTATATAAGACAAGGATAAATTAAATTTGCCACGAAGTTTGAAATACCCAGAAACAAACGTTCGGGGAAATATCGGGTATAACTCTGTGTGAAAATCGAGAGAAAGAAATTTGTATGGCATTTTATACTCTGCTATTGTGAGCAGCAAATAGTAAGATAGTTAGACTTTTTGTCGAAATACTCTTTTTTTTTCTAGGTTGGTATGACCGTCAGGTCACATCAAAATAATAAAGTAGCGTTGAAGTACATAAAATGCATTCGGCGACTTTTACTATGACTGATGTATTCAACAAAGAAGTTTAAATAAATTTTGTGTTCGGAATGAACTTTCTGGTATCAAAACGTTCAGAATATTGGAACAATAGAAATTTGATATTTGAACTTTGATTGGGGTGAGAACGCGTTGACGACTAACCACGTCCAAGACGGCCATCAATATCAACTGATGATCAACACGTCAATAAAATAAAGGAATTGGTGCTTCAGAATCGACGATTATAAGTCAGAGATCTTACTGGCACCGTTTGAATAGCGGAAGATTTAGTGAAAACCATTGAAACATGAAACGTATTACTACTGGTGATTATTCTTGGATCAATGCTTAAGACCCGGAAACAGACGACCAATCGAACGGATATCGTGGCAGCGGTGTGCCGAATCCAAAAAAAACCGAGGTTATGTTGACATTTTGCTTCGGGTGTCGAGGTGTGGTGCACTCCGAATTAATTATAACCGGTCAAATTGTCAACAATTAAAACTATCCAAGTGTTATGCGGAATTATAAGCCGACAACTTTTGGTTTTTGCACCACGATAATGCCGAATGTACCGTCGCACACTGAATTGATTCTTCGTGAGTTTTTCGCCTAATTTTCAAACAATATCGTGCCGTCGGATTGAGCTTCATGTGAATTCTGGCTATTCAACAAACTCAACCGACCGCTCCGGGATAACCGGTTTGAATAAACTCAAAGTTTATTTATATAAACTATGGAAGAAATTCATTATAAATAAGATTTTCTGTTGAAACACACTTAATTATCAATCCACATTCTTAGTAAAATTCCCACAATAAATCAAAAACGGGAAACCTCTTCCCTTTACTAAATTCTTTAATAATCACTACATATAAATATAGAACAAACAGTGTTTTCTAATCAAACAATATTAATAAGAATAAATGATTAGCTAATTTCAGTTTTAATTTAACTCTCTCACTCTCTTGTTTACAGACAGCGCTGGGCTTTGAAAGGGAGGACCACACTTATGATTACAAATGCGGCGGCAGTTTGATAAGTGAGACCTTCGTAATAACTGCAGCGCATTGTACCAATATAACGGAGTAAGCTAAAAATATACATATATGCTAACACATAAGAACATTCCATCATACGAAAAAAAGATTTCACTTAAAGAAAGCTTTCTCAAGCTTTTAACTTGTATCGGTATCCTATTTGCCTATTCAGCTGACTACACAGAAATTAAATATAATAGAAATTAAATAATGTTTAAAACGCAACCTAAGATACATTGTGCTATCTCCTCTATCACTCATATTCCCGAAGGTCCAGTCCACTGATAAGTTCCAGGAACTTGATAGGAGCTATTGAGGTTATGTGATCCCTAACCTTATAAATGGATCTAAGAAATTTGAGACTGTGTTTAGAAATTGCTGTGCAATCTAGAAACAAGTGTTCAGGAGTTCCCGGTTCCATGACACATGTTGGAAGATATTTCTAGAGATTTTTATTCACAGTATAGAGAGCGACTTCTGGCCGGAATATGTCTCGGAGGAAGTTACTCATGAATTTAAACCTTTCTTGGTTGTGAAATCCTAATAGCATCTTCGCATGGCGCGTACCTTTCTCTTCCGCCAACGATACATTGTTCTGGTTCCATTTAACGACCAACTCGTTGCCGATTACCCCTTATACTCTGCAGTTTTCCTATGCACTCCTCCACTTATAGCGATTTAATCTCATAGGCTGAGATCACATTTAGCGCAGCTCGCTACCTAAATAAAATATTCAAATCTTTTTCAAAATTAACTGCTGGTTTTTAACTTTGAATCATTCTTTAACATGCTCTCTCTGAGTCCTTTATTATTCCTGAAATAATAGTAGCGAATAGTGCATGTTCATAACAAATCTACTAAAACCAGACTGAATCCTTATTACTTAGTTCATCGTAATAAATTTTTTTTTCCGAGAAATTCCCTGGACCTTATAAGTATATTTATTACTCCCAATACATAATAATTTCTCATTTTGCACAAAAATCTTTTCAACATTATTTTGACTTACAGTGAAGTACCGACGGTGGCGCGCATCGGGGAAATCAATCTTAAGGTGAATGCACAACATTTTGGACCACAAATATTTGGCATACAAAGTATATACACGCATCCACAATACGATGGCGTGACCTATTACAATGACATCGCGCTTTTACTCTTAAATGCAAGTGTTATGTAAGTAAAATTTTTGTATATAAAAAATAATTGTACATACATATATACGCACTTTTCACAGATTCACCGAGTTTGTACGTCCAATCAGATTGTGGACACATCCTGATTTACCGATACACACCGCTTTCGCCATGGGCTTTGGAGCCACCTCGTTTGCGAAAGCGCCCACCCAGCTACTTACCGACTTCAATCTGACTATTGTGGAGAACAGCGATTGCAATCAGCGTCTGCCACAGCTGGACGAAGTGCCGCGCGGCATAATAAAGAGTCAAGTTTGTGCACAAGATTTTGTAATGCAACGCGATACTTGTCAGGTAAGCCAAATCACATTTTAGAAGGAAGAATGCAGAACTGATATTTAATTCAAAAATTTTCCATAGGGTGACTCCGGCGGTCCGCTGCAGTATAATATTAGAGGAAGGCGACGCAGAAATCGTGTACACTATCATTTGATCGGCATCACTTCGTTCGGTTTGCTTTGCCGCAGTCAAAACCCTGGAGTCTATACACGCATATACTCGTACTTGGATTGGATTGAGAACACAGTTTGGAGGAGTTATACGAACTAGACAGTTGCGAAACTTATATTTATAGAAAATAGTTTTATAAATTTAATTTACATTATAAAAATTGCATATTTTTAATGCGAAACATAAAATTTTGAAAACACCAGAGAAGAATATCATTCAATTCGGCCACACAATCGGCTCGATCCAGTGAAGGTATTTGGATACACGTGTGTAAACGCCGGGCGCTTCCGTGGCGCAACCCAAACCAAAGGATGTTATGCCAACCACATAGGGTATGTGTATATTCTTCAATATCAAAGGTCCACCCGAATCACCCTGTAGCAGTTAAATTTATAAAAACAGATCAGCGATAATATAAAAATGTTTAATTGTTGTCATTTACACCAACTTACCTGACAGGTGTCACGTCCAAACTGTCGATCCTGTGCACAGAACTGAGTATCCATAAGTCCTCTTGGCAACTCAACGGAGTCTTTATAAAACTTTTGACACGCCTTACTGCTTACAACCAATAAATAAGCTTTTAAAAGATCATCGGATGACCGACCACCTTGAGAAGAGGGTTTAGAAGTAGAACTGAATGGGTATAGGTATATACATACAAGGTCTGTTCAAAATTAAAGATTCTTTAAATATCTATCAAGTAAAGATTTGCAATTAAAAGAAAGTTAGAGAATAATGTATCTATAAAAACCATCCACTTGAAGAGGATAAAAGATTGTTTCCAGTACTTAATACTTATGAGCATAAGCAATGGAGATAATATCAGAAGAACAGAGGAGCAGAGAGGAATAAATCCATACTTCTATATATGAATTGATTGAATTTCAAAGTTCTATGTTTTTGCTTATATATACCATATATGTATATATTCTCCGAAAATTCTAGTTGATACGGTAAATAGTTTCCATAGATACGAAAGTATTTGAAATAACAAATTTAACTTGTAATCGGTTCTCAGAATCTTACTTTGAGAGCAGAATTATTTTCACACGGCTGGTCTCTTTACTACAAATTTTGCCACCATTATCGGGTAATGCTCGAAGAAATACGAGATTTGACCTTAAATTTGATTTTCTTAAGCTATTCTGAAGTGTAAATTTTTTCACAAAAAACGACTTTGTTTTAGGAAGCCTCCAAAATCAAATAAAAAAAAAAATTTCTAACATAGATAGGCAAGAAGATATAGTGATTGAAGATATAGATTGATTGACGGCACACCAAGGCTTTTGAGAAGGCCATTGTTGAACCACCAGAAATAAAGTCCGCTCACTCTATTATCCCCTTTGAACAATACTGTGCTCTTGATGGTGGGTACGAAGATATAGTGGATGTTTGACGACACACCAAGGCTTTTGGGAAGGCCATTGTGAAACGGAACTAAAATCTGCACATTGTATTATGTCTTCGCTGAACCTCTTGTGCAACCTCGGAAACATGGTCAGAAGACTCTCAACGGATAGTTGCGATTCTTTTCCTACACAAAGCCTTACATCCGCTTAGAAGATGTTTTCTAGTCTCTTCCTCTTCTAACCCTTGACAGCTTCTATAATCTAATAGTACAAAATCGGTCTTACCAAACTGCGTGTGACCATAACCAATTGCCGTGATGTTTTCATTGTCCAATAAAGCAGTCGCGCCGAGGCAAGCTGGTTGAAAATTTCTTTGAAAATAATTTAAAAAGATTATTAATTCAATTAATTTATACAAAATATTTAATAATATGAGTTTCAACTCACACTATTGGCTGTTTTAATTTAAGCAGTGCTATGTCGTTGTAGGCTTTCTTCGGGTCATAATCCGGGTGTATTAGAACATCGGCAATTTCATGCTTTCTCACCGAGTAGTCAGTCAGACTGCCGCCACCGGGTAATACTACCGAAGGTGTGGCGCTAAAATGAGAGAAGAAGGGAAAAATGTCTAATGAAAAAATTTTAGGAATATAGGTTTTTCGGTTAAATTATAAATTGGGATTTTTGAAAAAATTCAATTTAAGTGTTTATTTTAMATTTCGAGTTATTAAAAACGCTGATGAAGCGGATTTAATTTCGGTGCAGGAAAAAATCCTTATATATATATAATAAATTTAAAAAATAATAAAAAAAAATCTTAAATAAGAAATATTTTTTTAATATATATTATTTCGGTTACAAGTATCATTACATACCCGCCAATCCGCGCACAATGTGCTGCGGTTAACACAAAATTAGGCGCTATCAGAACACCACCACATTTAAACTCAAAAAGGTCAGATAACATTGTCTCGAATCCCAAAGCAATCTAAAGATGAAAACACTTATATATATAGCCTACATATGAGCCTAGGTTTTTATATTGTCTATATTTTTACTTACCATATATGGAAATTCATTAGGTCGTGTGCTAAGGCCGCTAACCATTTGGTCGACTAGGGGATAATAACTAGAACATGCTGAAAGAGGTAATTTGTATTTAGTAAGAAAATTTTCAATGGAAAATATTTCTGTAATTTAATTAAATATCGCTACACAATGCTGCCAAAAGTTTTGATAAAAATTTAATGACAAAAGTAAATACCCCTCGTCGTTGCATACTCCTTGGGCACGTCGCGACAACAAACGATCTGCTCCGAGCGCTCAAAATAACAGGTTTTTACGCGTTCTCTGGAATCTAAGGCACTCGGACAGTATCTGATATTTCGACACATGCCTTGCTCTCCATCCGACAGAGTACATTCACTTTCGAAATCATCGATATCAGGGAATATGATGCGATCCGGCATCTGCGCTGAAATTTATTATTTGTTTTTAAGCTTCTTTATGAACGTTATAGGTTTCTTAAGTAATAACCTAGTGTTTTGGCACAAATTCCTAGCAGCAGAAGTACTTCCAAAAGCATTTTACGATTTTTTTTTTCTGAATTATGACTAATAAAATTGAGAATAAAAGTTAATTAATACGAGGCAACATTTGCACGACACAATTTCATTGAGACTGAACAAGCTTATGGAGCTAAAGCGTGGGATTTCCGATTCAAAAATATGATAAGAATAATACAAGATTGACACCAATAAAATATTTATTATAAACAAAATTTAATTTTTACATACTAACGTACAAATATATTAAATTTGTATACATAACAGTATATACTTGTATATACAAATATATTTCATCTACGTTATCAGCGTCCAATGAACATTTTCACACAGTGTGCAAGAGTAATGATTTTATAGTTCAAATACATGCCGTAATGTTTCAAATCTATAACTGTAATATTTCTACAAATATTAAAAGTCAAATGCATCTACAAAATTAGATTTAAACTGTACACTTCTGGAAGCTTATCACTTCTTTACCAATATTCATCTCTTAAATATGCATTTCCTCATTTCTTTTCAATGGGTGCACCAGTTAAAAGAGCTTTCATAACACCTTCATTCAAGGAATATCCTTGTTCACACACCAAACTTAAAAAGAAAAGCTGCTGTCCTGCACTTAAAGCTTTCAGTTTGCTCTTGAACCGAATTCATAAACCTAATGTTGAAAGTGGATGCTAAAAATATGGCAACCCTGAAAGCTCACACATATAGCGTAAGGAAATCCACAAATCCACAAATTTTTTATAACTGTACCAGTATTTGTAAATGATTATGTTAATATAATTGTGAGTTCCACAACCCAGTGGTCAATTGAGAACTTAATTTTTAACGTTCTGTTCGTAGTTGTCATACGATACAGTGGGCCGATCTGAAAATTTTTCGCAGGTATTGTTTAATTGTCTTAGAAAGTAATATGTGCCAAATTTTAAGATATCTTGTCAAATACAAAAGCTTTCCAAGCAAACACTTGATTCCGTCGTTCGGTTTGTTTGGCAGCTATAGCAATAGTGGTGCGATATCAGCGTTTCTGACGAATGAGCATTTTCGGAAAAATATTTTTGTAAAAATATATTTTAAGCTCGGTCTTTATCACCGAAAAATAGATGCGCCATGCCAGGATAACTCCTTACAGGATCATCTCAAGTGGAAAAATCTTATTTTTGGTAAAACCTTAACTTAGAACTCGGACGAAGGAAAAAAACTGAAAAATGGATTTTTGCAAGACCTTCTTTTACAAAAAAACTTAGACTACGCGAGATTATTTTCAAATAGCTTTAATCGAAACTACAAGTCCTTCGTCCAAGTCTTTTAGAATTGTATCACAAAGAATTATGTAAAATTTATGAAGATCGGTTTAGTAGTTCTCGAGAAATCTTGCTTCAAAACCACAGTTTCGAGCAAAACGCTAGAAGGATGTATCTCCGAAACCATTACCCGGATCAACTTGAAAATTTAGCAGAAGTACACTACGAAAATCGTTTCTACGGTGTATTCGCATTTGTCATTTTTTCACTCAAACAACATGAGTTATGACAAACTCATTACAGCATGTCCGCATTTCTCAATAAAATATTCAACTCATATACAAAAGAAGTCAAGCCCATAAATGCAAACAGAGTTGATGTAACGTCGAAACGACAAGCACTATTGCTAGCTGCGGGGATTTACTAACTACACAATGAAACTAAAGAATAGCACAGCTTATGGAGGGTCAATTGCTATTGATTAACAAATTTGATAACGAAATGAATATTTAATTGCTATAACAGTGTTTTGTGGCACACAAGTTATGAGAAAAGTAAAAAAAACAAACTGAACATTGAAATAAAAGAAACAGAAGAATATTATAAATAAAATATACATGTTTACATATTTTAATAATTTTGTATATTATGGCATGTTTATAACAACAATCTCACAAAAAAAATTAATTAGATTTGTTTTAATCATAAATTTTAACAGCAACAAAATTCCTGTTACATTATTGCCTCTCCTCATAATCTCCATACTTAGCCCTCATTCTTTCTTATAAAATGTGGCCATAAAATGGGCTCAATCCAATCCAAATATTTTGCCACATTCGTATAAATCCCCGGCGCATCTGTGGC